ATTCTAGTAGGGGAGAGAACGTTAGCATTGGATGTTCAGGATTTGGCCAATCGGTTGGATATTTTGGAGCCCAGCCATGTTCTTGCTTGCGTGGTTTCACTGCCCTTCTTGTTTGAGTGTGTTAATATGATGATCCTTAATTGCATGTACTGAAAGACATGGTGCAATACAGTGATGCCAAGTAAGTTACTATTGGAGATGCTGCAGGGTTGGTTCTGTGTGCCGAATGTGGATGGGATGTGAGATTTGATACTTGTGGAGGCCCACAATTCACAGTATTCCATTCATCTAGGTTCCACAAAGATGTACCAGATTTTAGGCAGCACTATTGGTGGCGGAGGATGGAGAGTGCTTTTGTTGTTTATGTTACATGGTGTTGAACTATCAGCAGGTGAAGTACGAGCATTAGAAACCGGGTGGTTTGCTTCATAGGCTTGACATTCCAGAGTGGAAGTGGAGGCGTATGACCGTGGATTTTGTAGTTAGACTTCCACGGACCTTGAGGAAATTTGATGTAGTATAGCTCATTGTGGACAGACTGACCAATTCTTCACACTTCATTCCAGTCGTGGAATATATTCATTAGAGCAGTTGGCTCAGATTTATATTCGTGAGATTGTTCGCCTTCATGGTGTGCCCGCATCTATTATCTCAGATTGAGGAACTCAATTCACATCGTAATTTTGTAGAGCAGGGCAGCGAGAGTTGGGAATATAGGTAGAGTTGAGCATAGCATTTCATCCCTAGACAGACGGGTGGTCCGAGCACACTATTCAGATCTTGGACGACATGTTACATGCCTGTGTCATTAACTTTGGAGGTTCATGGGATCAGTTTCTTCCGTTAATGGAGTTAACCTACCACAACAAATATCAGTCGAGTATCCAGATGCCTCCGTATGAGGCCTAATAAAGGAGGCGATGTCATTCTTCGGTTGGTTTGTTTAAGCTTGAAGAGGCCAGGCTGTAAGGAATTGACACGATCCATGATGCTTCGGAGAAGGTGAAGTTGATTTAGTAGTGGCTTCTTATAGCTAAATATAGGCAGAAGAGTTATGATGACATGAAGGCTCGTAATGTTGCATATATGGTGGGGGAGAAGGTTCTTCTTAGAGTTTCACCCATGAAGGGTGTGATGAGGTCCGGGTATAAGGACAAGTTGAGCCCTAGGTATATTGGTCTTTTGGAGGGTTCTTGAGAGAGTGGGAGAGATGGCCTACAGACTTGCCTTAATACCTAATCTATGAGGGGTTCACTCAATATTTCATGTTTCGATGCTCCGGAAGTATTATGGTGATGCGTCACATATTTTGGACTTCACTACGGTGCAGTTCGATAGGGATTTGACTTACGATTTGGAGCTGGTGGCTATTTTGGATCGGCAGGTTCGGAAGTTAAGGTCAAAGAATATAGTGTCAGTGAAGGTGTATTAGAGAGGTTAGCTAGTGTAGGAGGCTACTTAGGAGACTGAGAAGGAGAGGCATAGCAGATATCCTCACCTTTTTGAGACTCCAGGTATGATGCTAGACTCGTTTGAGGATGAACGCTTGTTTAAGAGGGGGAGAATATAATGACCTGGCCAGTTGTTTTTGAGTACTTTAGCACACGTTCCCCTATTTGGTGCTCTACGTGTGTGTGTTTTTAGATTTCGTGACATGCTAGGTGGTTAGTTTGGCTTTGGTGATCTTTTGCAGTGAATTGGAACACTTAGTCCCAACGTTGGAAGCTTAAGTTAAAAGAGTTTCCCGAGTTTGACCTTTGCGTAGATAACTCCGAAATGGGGTTTTGATAGTTCCAATAGTTTCGTATGGTAATTTTGGACTCAGTCCTATGTCCGAAAGTTGATTTGGAGGTCCGTAGGGTGATTTGGTGTCGTTTGGCGAAAGTTGGAAAATGGAATGTTTGGAAGATTAATAGATTTGATCGAGAGTTGAATTTGATGATATCAGGTTTGTATCTTGGTTCCGAGAGTTGGGATAGGTTTGTTGTGTCATTTGGGACCTACATGTACAATTTGAGGTCCTTCAGAGTTGATATTTTTTAAGCAAATATACCACTAGGCATGCTACCTAGTGGCTTATATATAAATAAAATCCCAAAATTGGGTCCAAAGCTTACAAGATGTCCAAAGCTAAATACAAATTGCACAAAACCACTAGCTACTAGAAAGATGAAATAATTAATATCTAAGGAACTAGCTATTAAAACATGATAAGCTGCACGTTACATGTATTTGAATCCAATAGCCAGGGGCAAATACCAAGTAGCACCTATCAAGCTCTCACCAGGCGCCAGGGTATGCATTCTATTGGAAATGGACAAGGCTAGCATTAATTCAAAATATTTACACCACTGAATTGAAACAAGCAAAATCTTCCAACCATCAATGTTGCTCCGGAATGAACAACTCCATATAGTTTTCCAGTTCAAATCAAGGCAGTATACTGAATTTGCCAAAAGCATATGATAATTCATCTGCTCACTAAACAAGCATAACATATATACTGCATTATCATCTCCAGAATGAGTGTGTGAACACACTAATACTACCGGAAAATGAAAACTCAATACATAATATAACAGAAGGAGCAGCAGATGATGCGATGAGTTGTGAAACTGTATTGCATTGTGTAAAATTGTAGTAGCAGCTTCATGTGAAAATCTGAACCAATCTATCATAATAAGTGTTGATACCCAATTTTTCCCTCATTTTTTTAAATNGCATTTATACCAATATGAGGTTTTAAATAATTTTAGGGCATTTCTTATAATTACATTTGCATTTTTCAGGGCTAAATTGCTCATTTTGTAATAATAGCCCATATTCACGTATAATTACATTATTTATGCAGAAAATATCCTTTTATATTTTTATAATGTTAAATAATTATTTTTAATCATTTTCATGCACAAATGATATTTTTGTTATTTATTTATTATTTTTTATAAATTATTTATTTGTTAAAATTGGGTATTTAAAAATCTGCTCCTAATTTCATCCTAATTTCGGACCTAAACTACCCCAGCCCCAGCCCAATAATGCCTGAGCCCAAACCAAATGACTCCCCAGCCCAACCAATTAATTAACTCGACCCAACCTTTCTCAAATACCAGCCGTTGATCAAAAATGATCAACGGCTCACATTGCCTTCCCCTGTGTCCTTATATCACTCGACCCCAAACCCTAACCCTATTCCCTCTAAACTCGCCGCCTCTCCACTCTCTCCCCTCTGAAGAACCCTAACCCGCTGCCTCTCGTAAATCCCTCTCCTAATCCCTCTTCTTATGGGATTTTCTTCCCATTAACTTACCATATCCGTATATTTCCATTACTGGGTGATTCTCTATGTTATTACCTAGTACTTGCCTAAACATGGCAAGTACTCTTACTTTGATTCTGTCCGATTGACTTCTACCTATTGAATCTGGACGATATTTCGTCCACACACATTTATTCTACACCGTGTGATTCTGATTTGTTCATATTTTGTTGATTCGTATTTAACCCTAAAGCTAGGGTTTACAGATTTTCTTTGATTCAAACCAAAATTGGTTCAAGCGTTTGATTTTAAGTGTTATCTCGTCTATATTCGCCATATTATGTGTAAATTTATTTGTCTCTGCCGATGTTTTTTACTTACCCTAAAATTAGGGTTTCAGATTCTTTTAAATCGAACCAAATCTGGTTCGATTCTTGGATTTTGAATAGTATTCCTGTCTATGTTCATCTTATTCTATGCAGCATGTGATTTTATTTCTGCCGATTTGTGTACTTTACCTAAAATTAGGGTTTTAAATTTTCTCCTTTCCTTACTGATTTTTAGTGCTTTCCTTTCTAGTGTTTGACTGAAGATTTTCCATGTTTATGTGTTCAATTCCTACACTATATAAACCCCTCTCATAAAACCCCTCAATGGAGGATTGTAACCTCTGAATCCTTACTTTGTTCTCACTACTCCTTTCTCTTACTCACTTACTGGCACACTGAAACACTTTCTAAGTTGTTGAACAACCTCCTCCGGTACAAGCACTGCTCGGAGTTCATTCTCGAGGCTCTTGTGAACTCTGAAGCATCGGGGATTTGGGGTTTTTGCTACTACACTCTACACTCTTTTAATTCTTCTACTGGTTAGTGTTTAAACCTTGATAATGTTTTTCCTTCTTTCTGCACATGTATCTGACCTTTGGTTGTATTGTGATGGTGTTCATCTTTGATATCATTCTGTTTTAATTGATGCCTGAGAATAGTCTACTGTTCATGTCATGCTTCACCATAATCTGCACCCTGTGATCTCTTATCTCCATGTATTAGTTCTATACCCATGTAGCATCTTGACATGTTAATTTAGACTTCAGTATTGTGGTTGTATGTTGTTTCGCATGTAATGCTTAGATAATGCGCTAACTCTATGAGAACCCCTTTACTTGAATGAACTTTCAATGAATTCTATATTTATTGGAGTGTTTTAAGACCTGTTCAAATTCGTTTCATGATGTGCTAGATTTCCAACTCTATTTTTTAAGACTCTTGTGATAACATGTTTCCTAGTATGTCTTGATCTATCTGATGTTCTCTCCTTTCTGTGGTTATCAACATGTGCATCCCTCTATTGTGTTCAAGTGTTGATTAATGTGGCATTAGGTTAGACTAAGTTTAATTTAGACCCTCAGATGTCCGCTAGTGCAACCTATGTATGCTTGCAAAATGGCAGATATTGATATTAGGCAGAAGCTTGGTAAGCTTTGCAACACACTAGTAATAAGTGTAGATTTACCTCCAAAGGACAATAATTTTCCATTCCAAGAATGTAGCTTTGCCTTCACCTTTTTAATGAGATTATTGTAATAATCTTTCCTCCTCCTTATATAAAAGATTGGACACCCTAGATAAGTGAAAGGGAAGCTGACTCTCTGAAATCCAGTTATGGCACCAACATTATGAAACAACTCTCCTGCCACATTAGCATGCATGAAATATGTGCTTTTTGACTTGTCGATCAGCTATCCAGATGTTTGCTCATACAGTGTAAGGACTACAACCACTTTTCTCAATGAATATGGATCAGCAGAGGTAAATATGATTATATCATCAGCATATGCCAAATGATTCAAAAGATCAGACCATTTTGGCATACCAAATCCTCTAAACTTGTTGTCTTCAAACAACTTGTTCAATGATCTTGACAGAAGCTCAGTAAAAAGAATAAACAAAAATGGAGCCAAAGGATCCCCCTGCTTCACCCCTCTTGAAGACTTAAAAAATCCAGATGCTTGCCCATTTATAAGTACTGAATATTATTTATTTGCCAATAGATTCCAAATCATGTTGATGAAGTGCTCAGCAAATCCCATCTTCCTCAATACATGAAGTAGATACTTCCATGACACCCTATCATAAGCCTTGGAGATGTCTAACTTAATCACAACATTAGCAGGCTTCCCCCTTAGTCTAATATATGTGACAATTTCTTGTGTGAGCAATATATTTTCAAAGATACTCCTCCCCTTCACAAAGCCAGACTGATTGGCAGAGATCAAAGAAGAAATAATCTTCTCCAATCTATCATGTAATACCCTAGAGATCACCTTATTAATGAAGTTACTAAGACTTATAGGCCTTAGAGTTGAGAAAGTTTGAACCTGAGGTTTCTTGGGAAGGAGAATAAGATTTGTGTGTGTTACTGACTTTTGCAAAGATGCACCTCCATAGAACTCTATCAGCAACCTGAAGATGTCCTCCCCTACAATATCCCAACAATGCTGGTAAAACAATCCAGTAAAACCATCAGGGCCACTTGCACTATCTCTACTTAGGGGCAAATACTGCACTCTTAACTTCATCAATGGTAGGAAATTTGCAAAGCTCCAAATTCTGCTCTATAGTTACCATATTAGGCACATTGTTCGGTAGCTCAAAAGTTATAGAATCCCCTTCTTGTGTGAATTGTTTTTGGAAGAAATCTACTGGAGCATTAGCCATGAGATCTTGAGATTCCAACCAATCACCATCTCCATTCTGAATTCTTTTGAGTTGTAATTCCTGTCTCTTGCCATTCACATGGTTATGAAGGAACCATGTGTTTCTATCTCCTTCAGCAAACCAATTCATACCATCCTTTTGCTTCCAATACTGCTCCTCAATGCTCAAGTATTTTTTTAATTTAGCTTGTGCTTGTTGAAGGACTATTCTGTTCTCCACTGTTGGTTCTTCTTCAAACAACATCTCTTTAATTCTAACAACATCTTCTCTAATAGCCAACTACTTGAATAGATCACCATAAATGAGTTTACTCCATTCAGAAAGAGCAATCTTAACCCTCTTCAACTTTTGCTTGAACATGAAGAATGGATCTCCAATGAAATCAACCATCCAATTCTGCCTAACCACCTCCATAAAGGTTTCATGTTTTGTCCAGAAATTAAAGAACTTGAATGGTTTTACAAATTTCATTGCCTCTTCTCCACAACTCATCAAGAGTGGGGTGTGATCTGAGCCAGTTCTGATGAGATGCTCCACCTGTATATCAGGGAATATGCTTTAGAAAGGCATGTTCACAAGTATTCTATCCAACCTTTTGAAGATGCATTCTTCATTAGGCCTTCCATTCCACCAAGTGAAAGGACTGCCCTTATACCCAAGATCAAACAGTTCACAAGAGTTTATACAAAAAGCAAAATCTTCATATTCTGGACAATACACAGGCAGCCCTCCTATATTCTCTTCCTCATTAAGAATCACATTGAAATCCCCTTAACCAACCAAGGCAATTTCATATCACTAGCTAGATAATATATATTGTCCCACAACTCTAACCTTTCTAATGATGAACATTTTGCATACATAAAAGTCATCATAATGTGCTTTCCTATATCCCGATGATATATCCTGATAGTCAGTTGTTGTTCAGTATCCATCAACAACTCTCATTCCACCACAACATAAAGAAATAACCATATTTTCCCATTCACATTTGAAATTGCAGCTTCCATTCCTAACCTCCTTCTATACCTCTGAATATATCCTGTCTTTTGAAATGGCTCCATCAGTGCAACAATGAAAAATCCATGTTTCCTTTGCATATTTATAACCCTCTGAAAGGCCTGCTGAGTCTTAACAGACCTTATGTTCCATATTAGAGTTCTAATCATCATCTTGTTGTTAAGGCTGCCCTCTTGGGCAAAATTCTAGTAGGTGGTTGTGGCTCCTTGGCTTGTGTTTGCTTTTTTCCTTTCTTTCCACTTTTACCTGAAACTCTAGATGACAAATCCCCTTCTCTTGCTATATCTTTAAAGTTCCGAGCAATGGATTCACCATCACCTTCATCTTCATATTGTTGTTGTGGATCTACCAAAGCATTCTGAATGTCCACAGGTAGCTCCTTGTGAGTGATTACATCACGTAGTATCTGATTTGGAGACTTCAAAGGTACATTGATTTGTATCTTCATTGGTGATCCAGTTCTAGAAGCATATGCTATAGGCACTGTCTCCATTGCATCTGAGTCCCTGGGTACTATGGCTTGCTCAATCTGATCATGTGCCTTTCTTGTGGCCTCCTTCAATATCTCAGCATTGCTCTCCATCCTCCCCAGATTCTCCCGCATCACTTTGAATTGAATATCATAGATAGAACCCAAACTAGGATTCACTGTAGCAGAATTCCCATAAAACATTGTTCCATTGAGATCACACCTCTTCTCATCGACTGTTTGATGGTCTGACCCCCACTGTATCCTTCAATACCTCCATATTAATATTCCCAAATTGGTCCCTCCTTAAGTCATACATTGGAATCTCATCAATAGTGGCCCAAATCTCCCTAAAATTTCTAGGGTTTACTATTCCATTGGCCTATTTCTTGGCTAATGGTGCAATAGCTGATCCCCTATGATTTCCTGCTTCTTTTGATGTCCCTCTATTATCTCCAGCTGGTGGAACTGCTTCCTTGACCTTAGAACTCGATTGATCATCAACCCTAGTTTTTGAATTTCTAGGGTTTACTGTAGTTAGAGCCAAACTTCTTGTTTTTGGTGTATGATTATTTCCCTTATCCTCTATGTCTCCTATTGCATTTGTTGACCATATCTGAGCTTCCATTTCATCAGCTTCATCACTCCATAATGTTTTCCCAGAATTTACTTTATTATGCTCCTCCAATTGTCCCGAATTCTCGTAGGTTTGTGAAGGTACGTCATGGCATGATTGATTGATTGTCACATTGAGCTCCCTTAATTCCTCCTTGCTAGTACCAAACCTTCTGTGCACCCACTCAATTGTAGACTCTTTGTTCACCCCCTCATCAATCTCTGCCTCAATAGAACTTGGAGAACTAGCCTTAGCTAATTCTTGATTACCTTTCACATGTGGTGATTGAGTCCCTGTTTGACTAGGCTTCACATTATTTTCCTTATAAGTTGCCTCAACAGCTTCATTCTTGACACTCCTAGCTGCCATCCCAATCCCAGTCCCAGTAGGTTTAGGACTAAATGTACCTTCCTTATTGTCCTTACCATGGTCCTCAACCCTAATCCTTGAATCACTAGGATTAGGATATCCTCCCTTAGCCGCTGAAATATTCCCAGTCCCTTTAGGATTAGAACTGGAATTTTCCTTGTTATTCACCTGCTCCTTCTCCTGATCCTTCTTATATTTATCTCCTTGTTGCGTCTTGTGTTGTTCATTGTTGCTATTATCTCCTTTGCCATCAGTGATCCTCAACGTTGGTGGGGAAATTTACTCAATCTCCAATGCATTAAATTTGTTCTCTGTAGTTACTACCTCAACCTTAGCCTTTCCCTTGTCATTGTTAGGTTCCTTTCTCTTTGTGTTGTCAATGATATAACCCCTCTTATCATGTTGGTATTTATTTTTCTTTGCTTGCATCCCCTCCTTCCTGGCTGGATTAGCAACAAGTTTCCCTACAACGTTACCATTAGTTAATACCTTTGTAGAAGCAGCAGCTGAGCCAATTACTTCTTGCTCATTCTTCTTATCATTGCTTGATCCTCAAACTGCCTCAACTCTGGATTAATAACCCAGCACTCATCTTCTTTGTGACCTTGTTTCTTACATGACTTACAATACTTAGGCATATAATCATACCTAATTTTGATCCATTTAAACTTCTCGGGTCCAGACTCATCCTCCTCCTCTACAATTTTAATCCTTTGAGGAAAATTTGACAACACATTCACCTCAACCTTCACTTTAGCACAACTTGGTCGAGTTCCATTTTGAGTAGCCAAGTCCACATGAAGTGGCCTTCCTACTTCCCTAGCTATATATAACATAAACTCCTTGCCGAAGAAGTTAGGTGGTAAATCTTGAAAGGAAATCCAAGCAATGGCGACAGGAGTTTCCTCACTACGTTTCCACCATGGATTCCACTTAGTACAACGCATCTGCCACATCTCATTTTGTATTTTCAAATAAAAAACAGGCTTAGATAGAAGATGAATATAATCCTCCATTAAGGAAAGTTTAATTAACACATGACTATATTCTATCAATTGTAAAACATACGCCTTTGTGGGCATCATCATCATCATATCGTACCCGGCCATAATAGGCTCGGTANATAAGTAAAATTATAAACCTAAGTTGCGACACCTTTTATCGACTTTTGTTTCATAACTCGCTTGACTTCAAGAGTTATGATACGGATATTATATGATTCAAATACATTAAAACATGACCTCTTGGGACAATTAATCACCTCTAGTGTTACCCGAAAATACGGGTTACAACATCCTTGATTCGTTTGACTTCTAATACTTGCTAACTACTCTTATACACCCTTGTATTGTTTAATACCAATAGGATTAACTTCTTATCATCTCAAAGATAATCTCTTCTTGGATTTACGTCGACTAACTTACAGCGTGATCTAAGGTACGCGAATTTGGGTTGTAACATCGGAGGGTCGCGAAGGGTACCAACGTAGCGTATCTTTCTTATAACACCATCATGGGTAAATAGGACAGAAGGGTCGTCATGAGATAACCAGAGTAAAACGTAAAGGAATACTCGACATAGGATGATCCAGAATGATATAGAAACTTATATATGTGCCATAAGGGCCTATAAGGCCGACATGGTCGTATTTACATTCAAAACATAGGCCGACAAGGCAATACAAGTACCCATATATATGACATCTGTCTACAAGCCTCTAAGAGTACATAAAAATCATAATGGTCAGCACAGGGCCCCGCCATACCAATCAATACATGCCTAGAGCATACTGACCAAATAGGAAACTACGGAGCAAGTGGAGTGCACCAACACCTTCCACTGAGCAGATAGCCTACTAGGAGGGTTGTCAACCTGTTTATTGGGACCTACGGGCATGAAACACAGCATCCCCAGGAAAAAAGGGACTTCATTACTAATAAAGTACTGTAAGGCCCCGTAAAATCTTTCCTAAAAATCGAGGTTCCGTGGTGCCGAAGTAGGCTTATGTGTTTGGGGATTGTAGAAATTCTTCGCGTCGAGCAAGCTAGCCGCGACTCGGACTTTTTGGGTTGAACAATGCGTTAGCGAGTAAAGGAAAATTTTGGGCAGAAAAATACATTTATGTGGCCCACTATGTTGCCGCAGAATCACTCTGCCGAATGCATAATGGCCGCAAAGTGAAGCAGGTGAGGCGAGTTTGGAGATCAGGTTTGCGTCGCATTATAATGCACCGCATAACAGGTACATGGGCTGCATAATAACTGCAGACCGAGTTAGTTTTGCCCTGTTTCGGAGGCCAATTGTGCGGCCTATACTGCGACCGCAAAAGCATGTTCCACAGATTCATTTTTGGGTTTTTAAAACCCGACCCTACTTCGATTAAATAGGCGCAATGGACCATTTTTGAGCTAAAACCAGATATTTTGAGAGTAAGAGAGTGCCATAAAGTGGGAGAGTCTTCAACAAATTGTCCTTCGATTATTGCTCAAATCTTTGAAGATTAACAAGGAAAACACATTAGGTCTTCATCCTAGAGATAAGATTCCACACCCTAGATTTTAGTTTCGAAATTTATCTAAGAATGGGTAATTAGCAAGACAATTCTTCGGTATGGGAGTTGTTTATTTTGCATGCATGTGTTATCAAAGGGTGTAGGAAGATTGTGAGCTAAAAAGGGTAAAGAATGGGTTGTGGGATGATGGAATCCTCCATAAAAGGACCTTGAAACCTTAATGCACACTTAGTGTTTGATAAAATGCCCAAATGAGC